TATATATATATATATATATATATATATATATATATATATATATATATATATATATATATATATATATATATATATATATATATATATATATATATATATATATATATATATATATATATATATATATATATAATATTTGCTGTGTTGGTGAAATGTACTCAGGTGAATAAGATGCTTGTGTGATGTTACTCTGAGTGTAAATCCACACCGGGCAGGCTAGAAAAATATGCCTGGCCATGTAGGTTCGAATCCCACCGTGGCCAGGCATATTTTTCAAGCCTGCCCGGTGTGTATATATATATATATATATATATATATATATATATATATATATATATATATATATATATATATATATATATATATATATATATATATATATATATATATATATATATTACTGTCGAAATGGTATACAAATACGGCATGGCTTTGGTGAGTGGCCATGTGGGTGTGCAGGAATGGTTGTGACTGGTTGGGTTCGAATTGGTCAGTTGGTAGAGCGATGGGCTTGTAACCCAGAGGTCGCCGGTTCGAATCCGACTCAGTCTCAACTTTTCCTGTTCACTAAAAAATACTTACCTACGGTGATTAACATATATAAAAATTATAAATACCATATCGTGATGATTAACATATATACGGCTGGAGAAGACATGTTACTGTCGAAATGGTATACAAATTCGGCATGGCTTTGGTGAGTGGCCATGTGGGTGTGCAGGAATGGTTGTGACTGGTTGGGTTCGAATATACCATCGGGCTTATAGCTCAGTTGCTAGAGCGATGGGCTTGTAACCCAGAGGTCGCCGGTTCGAATCCGATTCAGTCTCAACTTTTCCTGTTCACTAAAAAAAACTTACCTACGGTGATTAACATATATAAAAATTATAAATTCCATATCGTGATGATTATGATATATATATATATATATATATAATAACTTAATATTTTAATACAATTTTTCAATTGAAAAATTGAAAAAATTCAATTGAAAAATAGTATTAAAATATTAAGTTATTATTAATTGCTCTACAATTGTCTTGTATTGAGCACTCTTTATTCTTAAAAACGGGAAATTACTTGATGAAATTATATATATATATATATATATATATATATATATATATATATATATATATATATATATATATATATATATATATATATATATATATATATTTAACAAATATAAAACATTTTCCGTGTTGACATACAGTTATATCAACACGAGTGGAAATTGGGAAAACGAGAAATTGTGTGGAAACACGACGCCCGAAGGGCGGAGTGTTTTCATACAATTTCGAGTTTTCCCAACTTCCACGAGTGTTGATATAACTATATATCAATACGGAAAAAATGTTTTATATTTGTTTTATAATATAGCAATGTCAAATGCCCGAAAAATAAGAAAAATTTCCGTGTTTACAAGTGGCCGAAAATTTCCCGTGTTGACATGGAGTTATATCAACACGGCTCTTAGCCAATTAGCGTTCAGAATTTGCAAATGCTATATTATAAATATATATATAAAACAAGGAAATCTACCACGAATCGAAGTAAAATATAATTAGGCTAGTACATTAAATTTTCGGTTGCATGCCACAACCTTCGTCAGAAATAAGAGCTAATACATGAAGTGCCTAAATTATACTAAAAAATTGCATATGTAATGTAAAATTCAAAACGAAACTCTACGTAAAACGTAGATTTGTGGCTTACAAATTAATAATAAAGTATTTCTCCCATAAACACAAATTACATCGATTTGAAGCACAGTTATAAGGCTTAGCTTGTTTCAATAGTTTCCAATTAAATATATAATCAATGTTTCGATTTTTCAATTCCCACACGTATTTACTTAGTTCAGTAGCGTTCCGTTTGTCGAAACAGTTGCATGATGATTTGTGGTTTGCAAGTCTTGTTTTGAACGGGAAAAAAAAGAAAAAAAAAGAAAAAAAAGAAAAAAAAAGAAAAAAAAGAAAAAAAAAAAAGAAAAAAAAAGATAAAGATGCCTCGAAAGATGCCTAGTAGATTCTATAAAGATGGATAGTGGATTTTGTTGATTGTTGTATCTTAATTTCATACCTAATTTTAAGAATTTTTTATCACTGCACATTTTATGCCAAAAATTTCCGAATGACTAAGAAAATTTCCGAATATTCGGAAATTTTTGGCGACCCTCCCCCCCCCGTCGCCAAAAAAATTTTGGTCAGTGTACCATTTTAAGGGTCAAAAATTTTTTCCGGACATACCAAAAGCCAGATATTAACTAAAAATTGCCTGAATCTCATGATTTTCGTACAAAAAACATATACTATTATTTAATTCGATAATTTGGCAGTCATCATTTCAATTTCAATTAAATCATTCTCTTGTGTTAATTAACAACTTATCAAAGCAAATTTTATCACTGCACATTTTACATTTTATCACTGCACATTTTACTTTTATCACTGCACAAATTGGTTATTACTGCACACTAAAATTAGGTATGCTTAATTTAAATATGCTCTGGTTTTCCATTGACCACTTTACCAAAAGTTATAATAAGCAACGAAACCAAATCTGAAATTATAGAAGAGTAGGATGATACCCAATTCCAGCGTTCTATTCGAGGGGAACCGACACTTCCAGTCTTCCATATACAAGGCTAAACTTGTAGTTTACTTCCTTATATGGCATAAGCCTGTCCTAGTAATAATCATATGATGCTATGCGAGTTATTCAGCTCCAAACAATTTGAAAAGATCACTTGGTACTGATCATGGACAGACTGGGTTATGGATGACGATGCCAACTTTGATGCCACGCTCCTATCGTCTATATACATTTTCAGTGGAAATCATTAGCGTAACATAATATATAATTCTTCGTGAGAATTTGAAAGAGTGGGTTCTGATGTAAATAGATATTGTTGATATGGAAAACACTTTTACATTATGCAAATGCTGGAGTATATACAATATAGCTATATCAACACAAGCAGGATATTGAATACTGCAGGTACCGTGCACTCTATTTTTACATATTAGTGTGCTAATTATTATTAGTGTGTAAAATTATCGTTGTCAAATTGATTTGGTCATAAAGCCCGTGCTTAAATAGAGTGATTGCTACGTAAATAATATTTGCGCTGTTGTCTTGGTATTGTGCGTTGCTGCGTAGTAATGGGAACCTGAATCGTACTTTATTGTGGGCAGGAAGGCTTTGTGTGACGTCAAGAAATGGTAATATTAACTGGTCGTAATAAAGTTTTATCGCATAAATACTTTTATAGACTTGTCTCGAGCTTATTTCCTCCGTATATCTGCATTAGTGAATTAGCAATAAGAATGTTTTGTTACAAAAAGTCCACGTCTGGTTTTGTCCATGACATTGATTGCCAAAATGAATGTTGCGAATTCGAACGGAAGAAACCAAGAATCGATCGTTGCAAAGATATGTTAAAATCGTATGAAACGCTAACCAGGCCTGAGTCTATGGCCAACCAAGATGATCCTTTAAGCCACGCTTTCAAGTTGACGCGTGAGATCAGGAACCAGAAGAAGAAAAATATTGAAGTGAAGAAGGAATTGAGAGTTTTCTATAGAAAGTCAAAAAAATTCACAGTCGACTTATTAGACGTTTGTGAGAACAACCAAGAAGTTGCCGTTCTTTTAAATTTTGATGAGGATGATCTCGGTGAGAAGAAGAAGATTAAAACACTGATGGAGGCAGTAGTTGCTAAACATAAACAGGTATTCAGATTTGATCTTTTTATCAAGGTATAATTTACTATGTGCATTAGTGAAATCCGTACAAAAACTATGTAACCCAATCGCGCGGAGCGGTATGCAGTTCTAAGCATGCAATTATGGGTTCTCTTAATCCACCTTTGCTAATCATTACACGCTGATGGGGAGAGAATCTTATTCGCGTCATCTTCCCCACCTTGTTTCTTTAAGGTGGTACGATACAGTACAGTACTCCTCGCAAAATTCTTGTACAAGAATCACGGAAACAAAACTTTATTGTATGTGAACAAATTAAACCGCGCGGTCATTTTCTTCCGCCGGAATATGAAATGAAGAACTTTCAATATTACCTACGTGGTGAATTGTTCTCGACATCTTGCGCCATTTGTGCGTGTTGTATATCGTGTCCCTGCTGACGTCATTAAAAAAACGATAAGCTATATCTTTTTATTTTGTCCGGTAATCATGCAATGTTAAAATTTGCATGCTGCATTGTATTACAAAAGTGTTTCGTTGCAAATATGAAAATGCTTCTTTTCCAACAACTCTGGTTCGAGGCTTTTTTTGAATAAATTTTGTACGCGTGGGTCATATTATGCCTCCTTCGCTTCGTTCGAATTTGGCATATACTGTAAAGTACGTACTATATACAAATTGACATATACTGTAATTACTGTAACTAAGATTCCCGATCATACGCCACGCCTCCAAAAAACTTCTTATACTAGGAACAATCAACTCATTGGATGATTCTAAATGTAATTGACGCGTCAGCGATATATATATATATATATATATATATATATATATATATATATATATATATATATATATATATATATATATATATATATATGGGTGTTGCTAATGCTTTCACATTTTCAATTTCATATAGTTTGTTGCACATCGCCATGTTCAACAGTTATTACACACAATCGTGTATCCTGATTGGCCATGCTCAGACATAGAATTCCTCCCTGGTATCTTACAATACGTCCTTTTACTCCTCTACACCCTAACGTTCCCAATCTGGGCATTTGTGTATCTATTTTGGAGAGACTGTCACATTTTATGGGTACAGAAGATGTGCCATTTTATTACTACACCGTTTGGCAAGTTTGTGGGCCATATGTGTCACTATTTTGCTTTTGTTGTTCTTCTGTTTTTCTCGTCTGCAAACGACTATCGCGAACCAAGTAATACTGGTTAGTATATAATTACCTCATGCATGCATGCGTAGATATCATTAATCCCAAATTATTACTGTCTCCTAACACAAAATAGATCCATGTTCGATAACAGTCGAATGAGTAAGGAGATATCGTATATTTGATCTACAATTAGCCCCGTTGACCATTTTATTAAAAATTCAGAAATAATTTTAAAATACAACAAGACGCCCGCTCGGCGTTAACCTCGGGTCGGTGGATAGGGCATCTGGTAAATATGCAAAAATCGTGTAAATCACGATAGTTTAATAGTTCACTAGAATAAATGGAGAATCAGTCATTCAAAGCTCCGTTTAAACATTTTATTGATAATAGTTAAATACAGGAACAATTTAGAGAATTTACTGACGCAATTATTTAACTGTCTTTATTCATTATTTGGGATATTTTGTGGACGAGTGAATGATATACATAGCTACTTCACACTTAGTAACACTAACAGACAATATTATCAGTCTATTTGTTGATTGCACGTAGCAGAACGACAGTCAGTTCATTGCCGAAAATATAATTAGGTGCATATAACTGATCCATCATTAGTAATAGTTGTTCCACAGTCGAAGAATGTAATGAGTGGACAGTTGGCGAAATTGTTGTCTATAGCTACCAGTTACAGTAAGAACCATCTATAAAATGCTTAGCAGTATCAAACAAGTGAAAGTTGGCCGCGGTATTCCCATTCTATGCATACGAAGTATTGTACATTATATCAACATATACTCGAGAATAGTTATCCAGCTAAATATGTATGTCAAAACTATCACATCTTCTCGTTCCGTTTCGCTTTGGCCGATTGAAATTTCCCGGAAGTACACTTATTTACCGGTTGTCGTCTCCTCCGCAGGCACTTCGACTACGCGCGCGGCTTGACACAAAATGGGAAAAAAATAGGAGCCGAATTTATGACCTCGGTGTATGTCGTACCGACCCGAGGCAATCAAAGCGTTCTCCCAAGGTGAATAGTTAGATTCGTTTTCCCGAGAGGCTCAATGTTTTCCAAGACAACGTTGAGGGAAACATTGAGATTCCACAGGAAATTAACATGAGTATCAGACCCTTATGTTTTCATTCGCCAGGATTAATTGGCGGCGGCGAATGAAGGAGGGTCTGATATAATTCTTTATCGCGCCGCATGCAGATCTAAAAAGCCAGATTCTGGCTTTTTCGTCTGATTCGCCGATTAGACGGAATATTTTTTAATCTGTCATTTGATTGGTTGGTGCTAATTAGATTATACTATTGGTGTTGATATATTTTATAATGATCACAACTATATAAGTAGTATAGGAACTGGCGTGTCTAGACCACTAGTTTTTCGTTCGCGTTCACGTGAAAACTTACACACCTGATTTAATTAAATTTTCTTTTTTATTGTTATACGGTTCTAGACCACATTGGTTTTTCAGAAACGCCAGTTTTTTTCCTTTCATTAAAATTAATTATTTTTCATTTAACTTATCTCAAAGCTTCGGAGTCCAGCTGAGACTCTAATACGTTTATCCTACACTTTTCCAATATCGTCCAACCTTCCTATTTCAAATCCTCCTCGACAACTTTTATTTCCTCCTTGAGGGTACACACATCCTTTCCATAAAATTGTTGGATCCTAATTTCGAAGCACTGATTAGTACCCTACAAGAACTACACCACGTCCGTTTTTGACGTCCGTTTTTGGTGTTGCTTCTTACAAGTGCCACACCTAACGTCTGTGCCTTTAGGTTCATTAACATTTTCAAATCTTCCTTCGATTCTGGAGGTAGTATATCCAGGTTGTTTTTTATGTGATTAATATCAGGTACAATTTTTCTTAACGGTTGCAGTTTCTTGAACTTCCACCTTTTAGCAGGCACCACAACCTTAAGTGGTGGTCTGGGGTAATACTTATCAATTTTTTCTTCCACTCTTACTGGTACACAGCTAGGTTCTATTTTTTCTTCAATCACCCCTTCAACGTCTGTTTTTCCAATTGCGTGGTGTCCATAGGCGTAACTTGTAACTCCATCTTCAAGTAAGTATCTTTTGTCATCAAAACAGCTAAGAGTAACCTTTTTTAATTCGTAAGTTCCAATTGTATGCTTTACACTTCTGATTGTATTCATATTATGTCTCATCCTACCTTTCGTATTAATTACATTCTTAAAGTTCTCGTGAGTGAGCTTGTTTCTGATGACATACTTTTTGACTCCTTTAGCAGTCATTCCACCTCCACCGTTTTCCTTTACATAGGAATACATTTTTGACCTCAACCCAACAAACTCAATTATAGGTACTCCTTCAGCTTCATCCTTAAACTTACCTATAACCTTCTTGTTGTGAGTTGAGTAGTACGGGGAATCTTTTGGGTAACTGAATTATCCCAACAGTTTTGCTTTTCACCGATTCTCTTAAAGTCCTCATAAACATCATCCGTCTTCAGTTCATACATTAGACTGTCAGTATCAGTGAACAGTAGCCTTGAATTATTACCGTGCTCCTTCTTGATGGTGTTGTAGTGAAAATCATACATTAAAGTCTTGGATAAGTCTAAGATGCTCATTCCTACGTAACACGGTTTATTTAGCGTTAGAACTTCTTTCATCCGTTTTACTGGGCTGCTGACCTTTTTCTTGTATTGAAGTCTATATAGTTCTTAAGCCAGGGAGACTGCTTGAACGTAACCGCTCTATGGACCTTTGTGAGTTTCATTCCAAGGTCTGTGTACAGTTTTAGATTACGTACATGTAAGACGTAGTTCTTCTTTGGACCTAGTGAAGTTACAAGTTTCTTTACTCCTCCAATTTTCAGCTGGAATTTTTCAGCAATACTTTTAGCATAATCTGACAACATGGAAGAATCAATTTCCTTACTCTCTGGTGCTAAAGGATAACCGTTATGTAGATTGTGAAGTTTTTCTGGATAGTCTAGGTCAACCTCTAAAACTATACCTCTTTCACTGTCCTCAAGGTAATCCTCTAGATTCATACCATCAACTTCCTCAACCCACTCAAACTCTCCGTTAGGTAGTGGTTGTGACATTGCCCAGCCATATAAATTGTTAGCATCGAGGTACATTAAGTACTTGTTCTCAGATGACTCATCATACGTCTCCATGTACTTATTATTAGCTGTTGAGTGTCTATGAGCAATATAACTTGTACCACCTCTCATACCCTTCTCGAAGAACTGAAACATATCCATATCGCTTACGAGTTCTATTTCTTCACCTGACTGTTTTAGAAAAGCGTCCCAGCTTAGACCAGGTGCTGACATATAATGTGCAGGGTCTAATTTGTTGTAGTTTTCCAGACATGTTCTCCTAAAGTTTTCAAACACGTCAGCTAAAAGAAGAACGTCAGTCTCCAGGTAGAGATCGTGGTAGTCTCTCATGGTTTTCATCTTGAAGTGATCCCAGACTTTTAGAGCTCTTTGGTAATCTTCTTCCTTAACATCTGACTCGTACAGTGAAGAGTAGAACTTATCCTTACTCGGAAGACCTTCTGTATTGAGTTTGCTAATATTATCGAGGAACTCATAAGGGAACACTCCATTTTGTGTTACTAGATTGAAGTCCTCACCCTTCCACCTCTTACCTACTATCCTGAAGTCCTCAGGTGAAAGGTTACTTACCAATGCCTCGAGTGAAGAAGCCATAAACTGTATAGAGTCTATGAAGACCAGATTCTTACCAAGTGAGAATGAAATATATTTTTCCATATTATTTGGGATAACATTAACATTCATCTTGAACTTACCAATTTCCTGCATAATCAAATGACTATCGTAACCTCTCAGGTTGTGGAAGACTACAGGTACTTTCCATGTAATTCTGTACTTCAGGTTGCATATGTTGTGAGCAGCTCCACGGTACATTCCTGTTACATGGTCATGGTCTCTTACCCTATCCTCACCAAGGTCGTTACCACATATTGAACAGTTTCTTGCAGTTTGAAATTGGAATTCCTGTTTGGGTGTAATTACCATCTTTTTCTTGAATATATTGTTGACCATCTCTCTACATCTGAAGGACTCTTTCAATACAGTCTTCAGGAATACCAATGCAGCATCCTCTCCAACGTAACTCTTATACTCACCGGAGTACTTATCATCATAGTGGCAGACTGTCTTCAAACCAAAACTACAAGCCTTGTGTGTCTGGTAAAGGTCTGTACTGCTTTTATCCTCAGGGTTCTCTGACTCCACTTTTCTCTCCTCTGGTACTAGTATGGACTCAAAATCAGCGTATATCACAAACGGCACAGGCATTGAGTTCCTATGATTTTTGAACTTGATTTTTGTCCCTTCCTTGGGAAGATTTACAGCCTGAGTTCCATTTACCTCCAGACATGTTTCCTTATGATTTTCAAGTGACTCTTCACTCACGCAACTATGAAGACAGTGTAGACAGAAGTGCTTCTTATGTGTATGTTTACTTACACTGAAGAGCATCCTGTTTACATCCTTTATGAGCACATAATGGTTGTTACCTTCACCGCCACCCAGGAGTAGAAGTTCCATATGATCCTCGTATTTAGCCTTGGAGTTCCTTATAGGGTAGAACTGTTTCTTACCCTTATAACCAAACACAGATATGCTGATACTGTTTTTCCTCTCAATTTTATCAATATCGCTGATCTTCACAGGGAAGTCTATACCCTTGTAGTCCAGGTTTGTTATGAATTCCCTGTCTTTCTGTGTTATGGTGGTTGCTCTTCTAACCTTAGGATTCAGATGTCTCACATGACTCCACAAGAAACACATATTATCATCATTTTTCATATTGATGAGCCCACACTTTGGATTACTGATGTCCCCTGGAAGTTTCATATATGAACTACCCTTTAATGGTTTGTACATTGCGATGTTTACGTAATGACTCTCAATATTGAGTATAATCCAATTTGAACCTAAGTTTTGGAAGGTTTCAATTCTAGATAATATTGTCAGTTGGTTTTGAGCAGCTGTACTTTCAATATCCTCAAAGTTAGTTGCAGTGCCAGTTTTAGATTTGAAGTAGACCGAGTCCTTCTTGGTTTTCCCGTCACCGATTTCCTTTGACATTCTCACCTTTATAGTCTCTGTGTACTTTAACCCACCCATTCTCTTCAACTCATTCACAAGTATTCCTCTCACTACCTGTCTACTTGCGGTCATCTGGTCCAGGGGGTCCATATAATGAGGAGTTATCGAGTAAGTCACAGCGGCTCCATTTGCGGCTGTTTCGATTTTCCTGTGGAATGGCTTTTCAAGGTCTGTTCCAAATGGATCTATTTCGTGTTCCTCTGGTGTAACCACTATAGGCTGCTCCTTAACTTCCCTCGACACCCTTACAGGCTTACGGACTTTAGGAGGAGACACTGGTTTCCTAGTCCTAGGTTTTGGTACAGGTCTTTCCTTAGGAAGCTTAGTCCTAGGTTTTGGTACAGGTCTTTCCTTAGGAAGTACCGTTCTAGGCTTAGGTATTGGTCTCCATGGAGCTACACCCTTAGGCACCTCAGGAGCTTTCCTCACGGGTCTCTTATTAAGATCCACGTGAATTGTGAACTTACCTGGACCTGTTGGAGTTATGACACTATCGGCAGGCACTGAGAGTTTTACCTTCCTCTGGCTCAGGAATCTTTCAGCTACAGTTTGCCTTTTAACCTTAGCATCAGACTTTACCTTTGGTGGTCTACCTCTCTTTTTAGGAATCTTCACTTCGGCATCGGACTTTGCCTTTGGTGGTCTACCTCTCTTTTTAGGAATCTTCACTTCGGTGTCAGACTTTACCTTTGGTGGTCTACCTCTAGGACGCTTAATCTTAGGATTCCTTTCATTTTCAATCCTCTTGATTTCCTCGTTTACTTGAGGATCATCCGTGCGCCATCTTCCTCCCATTGTTGGTGGTAATCCCTGAACACCCTTAGACAGTAAACTTTAGTATGCCTCCTCAACAAGTAAGGCCTTTGCCTTTTGCCTGTCAGAGTATTTCCATGTAGGCATAATTCCTCTTCTTCCCTTATAGTTCAAAGGAATACGTCTAGGTTTCTTTACCTCCATATCACGGTCAACTTCATCTATGAATTGTCTTTCTCCTTCAAAGGGACTTTTGCCCTTATCATCAGGTGCAATCCTGTAGTTTTTGTTGGCCATGATGTTCTCCACCCTCGTATCCATATCGTCATCACTATCTATGATACTGTTGAGAGCCATAAGCTGTTCTACACTGAATTCGTCTAAGTTCAAGTAACTCGCCATATTTTCTAACAGTTTCTATATACTATATATGTAAAAATAAATTCGGGTATTTAATTATTAATTTATTTCGAATTTATTTTTGATTTAATTTATTGTTTAATTCTATTGATTTATTATATTAATATTTCTTTAAGTGTTTTTATTTTTGATTTAATTTATTGTTTAATTCTATTGATTTATTATATCAGTATATCTTTAAGTGTTTTTATTTTTTATTTAATTCTATTGATTTATTATATTAATATTTCTTTAAGTGCTTTTATTTTTGGTTTAATTCTATTGATTTATTATATTAATATTTCTTTAAGTGTTTTTACTTTTCCAGTTATTATAATATTCACATTTCTCAGGTTTCCATCCAAGCTCAACAAAAACTTTACCATACAATCTATCCTCAAGGATGTCCACAATTTTTTGAGTCTTAATATCCTCGGGAGGGTTCCTCAAGTTGATGCCGTTCATGCTGGCTATCCTCAGTAGGTAAAACTTGTATCTAACTATGTTGCGCCCCCTTTGCAGCCTAAGTCTTTGTATACATCTTACTATGCTTCTAAACTGCTCCCTTATGATGTCCCTATCCCTAGAAGCAACATGTTCGAATAAGTGTCTTTCAAACCAACGGACTCTATTATGACAAGACTTCTTTTTCAGGTAGTCGTCCTTATTGTAGTTGTAACTAACGTAGTATGTGAAGTTATTCATATCACTTGTACCACACTGTGTGCATGTATCTGCTCCGTCTATCATTACAATAGACTTACTTCCACATTCGCTGCATATTGGATCGTATGTGTGTTTTATCTTTATTCTACTCTCTGCGTGCTTCCTCACAGCAGCCTCTAACTCGTCCAGTGTATTTACCCTTTACCTACATGTGCTATCTCCTCAGGTGTTGCCATCTGTAACCATTCCATTTCCCTATACTATATATGTGAAAATTTTTGTGGCATTTTTTATAGCATTAAATAAGCTGCCCCTCCAACCACCCCACCTGTAATTAAACCAAAGATTGTCATATATTCTTCCATTTCAGAGCTAGGTTTGTAGTGATTACTTAATTGTGCCATTCTTGGCATGGGCTTATGTGTTAACTCATTGATTCTTCTAACGAGTTCCAGCGACTTATTCGTTGAATTAATATCCTTATTTGCCTCAGCTAGTTCTGACTTTAGTTGGGCAATTCTATTTCTTCTATCAGTAACTTCCTCAAGGTACTTCTCTCTTTCAGCTGTTAGGTTCTCCATTGCAAGGTTATGTCTCTTAGCTTCCTCAGCGTATCCATTCTTGTCAAACATCTTAAATAAGTATCCTGCTCCCGCAAATGCAAATGCGTTAAAAAGTCCTTCTGCTACTGCTCCCGCCATTGTATAGTCTTACCTAGGTTTTGAATGGATCATCTGGTAGATACTTCTTTTCTTTCAAGTAAGAGACCAGTAGAGATGAAAGACTAACTGAAATAGCTAACTTTGCCATTCCTTTTACATTCTCTGGGGTATCTAATGGTTCTTTCAATAGTTTCTTTGATGAGATTGATATACCAACTGATCCTGCTGTAAGTAACACTGCATCGTACACTTCCCTAGTCATCTTTGATTCTTTACTCATCTTGCTATAATATATGGTATGTTTAGTTTATCATTCAAGTGAATCTAACTTGGACTCATCAGTTTTCTTAGTTACTTCTACAGTTTTAGGGATGAACTCAGGTTCTAGTTCCTTAGTTTCCCTCTGATGTGTTTTATATGCTAGCACAAGAGATATCAATGCAATGGCCACTCCTATGTAGGTAATCATACTATCATTGCTAGGTGACTCCCTAGGTTCAGCCAGTTTCTTTTTCCTCTCCTTTGCTATTCTACTGATTGCAGCTAGTCGTTTCCCTGCAGCTACTCTTTTTGGGTCCTTCTTCTTTTCACTTGTTACTGGTACTTGAATTTGCTCAGGTTTATCTTCCATTCTACTTGTAAGATACCTTAGGTTTAACTTGGTTTCATCTTATGAGATATCTTGAATTCTACTTGTGAGATAACTTGAATTTACTTGCAAGATAACTCAATTCTACTTGTAAGATAACTTAAATCTACTGGTGAGATAACTGGTGAGATAACTTAATTGAATTTACTTGCAAGATGTCTCAAATCTACTTGGCACTAAACTAGTACTTGTGTGATTTGAACCTTGGCTTGTACAGCTTTACATCCCCAACTACATTCTTCACCCTTACTGTTTTAACTTTCTTCCTAAGTGAGAAGTACTCGTTAATTTTGATACAAATTTGAATCAAGTCGTCGGATATCACTGTCATGTATCCTATTTCCCTCAGTCTCTTAAGCCATAGGATTTGCTTCTCACTTGTAGTTCCAGTGCCCTTAGGAGACTTAAATTCAATTGCAAATCCTGTGTACTTCCCCATAGGGTTCTCTATAATAAGATCTGGCTGACCACCTTTATAACCCTTCTTCCAGGCATCACATCTCTTTGACACTGTATCCTGGTACTCACCAAGACCTGGTATTATTACAGCCTCAGGGCGGTTATTCCTAATGTAACTCACAACTGTATGATGAAGGTCCGTTTCATTTATGAGGATCATTTGGTTATACCTGAGTGACCTTCTATCTGGTAATTCGTATGAGCCTGTTTTACGGATAGATGGAAGCACCTCACTGAATACCCACCTTCTGAACTCCTTTGCTGTGTTGAGCTCCGATCCAAATATTAGTTGGTACAAACCCTGTTCGGTGATTAAAATGGTACCAGGCTGACCGTTCAAGGGGGGTCCCTCGAGGGACCCCCCTTTGGATGGATCCTATTGTGCACTTATCCTCTTCCCAAACATGGTTTCTAACTGCTTTTTTCGTATTTGAGTACCCTAAGGATTCCGCCACATCTTTTGCATAAAACAGTATCTCCTCACCGCTCTTAATGGTTCTCACACTAACATTCAACTTTTGGTTCCTAAATAGTTTCTCCATCTTCCCTATACTATATATGTAAAATTTTTTAGGCTATTTTATCTGTCAATTTTTGGTTTAATTCAGAAGCAGCATTCCCCTATCCCAAACCCAGCTGCTTCCCACTGTCGTATACTTCCTATTACAAAAAACTATTTTTCATTTAGATTCTTGTATATCTTTACAACTGTTTTTATTGTGTCAATTTTAAAAGCTTCGAATTCATATTGTAGTGGACCTACTATTTTATTCTTAAGGGCATCATGATCTCTCTGTAGTGAATCCAAAGTTGCCTGAATTTTATCTAGCTGTTTCCTGCTTTTGTCAGTTTTCTCAGTCAATTCATCAATTATGTCTTCAAATTCTGTTCCTCCCCACTCGACTGGTTCTCCGGAGTTTGACATTCTGTATGTAATATCAGATGTTTAGCTTCCTCGGACACTTCCTCAGGTTCCTCCTTCTTATTCCACTTATGGGCAACTACATGTTTAGCTGTTGTACAGCCACCAGATATGAGCCCTATGAATGGTATGTTGGGGGATATCGTTCTGGTTAGATATGCTACGTCGTCCTTTAGAAGCTTGTCACTAAGTAGTTCCTCTGACAGTTTCTCTGAAGATTCCACTGCACCGAAACTTCCTAGTACCGCAGCAAACTTTGAAATAATAAGTGTTGATAAGAAGTCACTTGCACATGACATCCTCTGACTTTCATACTCATGGTATAGTCTATCTACAACATCCTTGTTAGACTTTCTTATAAAACTTGCGGGCTTCTCTATTATACCATCCCTCGATAGCTCTATAAGTTTGTCCCTTTTGTGTTCAGTTTGCGACTTATCTGCGGTAGACTTAGTTTTTCTTGCTTTTTTATGCGGCACCTTTGCGGCCTCCTCTACTTCTCTTACAGCCTCAAATATTTCTTCATCAGATTCAGTTCCCATCATCTATATTTTACGCGGTGTTTAGTTTAACAGTGTATGTGTAAGGGTGAATAAGTAGTACGTCCAGTGCGGTGAACTTCTCATCTTTTAATATCTTCGTAATCTCTGTAATTGTCTCCTGAGGAACACCACTTAGGTAATCATCTGTTATCACCTTCATATCTCTGCGACTAGGGTTGTAAAATGTAACTAACCTGGAAATGTTCTCCCTGAATGGTTTTGCTACTGATGACAATTGTTGGGTAAGTACAATGACAGATATATTGTAATGTCTTGCGGAGAATGCTAGGCGCACCAGTTCTGAGACTCTTTTCTTTACATCTTGACTTGCAGCACAATCGTCTACTATAATGAGAGTCTGAGTACCGCGGAATATGGTGGACACTGCCTTGAGAACAAGATCGATCATTTCTTGTGAGCATGGAATTTGTATAACCCCGTGGTCACTAATATGAGTCCAATTAATGTAAGTCATATTCCACTCTATGGTTGGACATACAATGACAATGTAATCGAATACTCTGTTGTACTCTGTTTCTAACATATTAAGTAGGAACTGAGTCTTTCCACTTCCAGTCATTCCTACTATGAGCATGCTGAATGGGGGTTTAAGTTGTTGCATCTCTATGCTTTACCATTAGTATTGAATACTTGATAGATCTTTATTAGCAAAGTTAAGGAGAGCATCTGATACAATAAAAATGTTGCACTGAACGTCAGCTGTTGTGGCTCTCTTTTTGATTTCCAGGAGTACTCCAGATTGTGTGTTAACTATCTTCTTACCTCCACCTGTGGTATCATCTTGTGTTGACCTTAGGTCGATTACTAGAGCAAAACCGCTGCTGAAGAACTTACTGATGGACATAAATTCATCTGCCATTGATTTCTCACACATATGGCAGAAGAATCTTTTTGCCTCTTCGAAGAACCTATTTTTAGGAAGTCCTTGGGAGAAAACTGCATTAGGCACACCTTCAATGGTCAGGTTCACTTTATCAATGTTTGGGTAAATATACTCTTCAGAATCAGTTCTCACTCTACTGGTAAATAGAAGGACAATTGCTGACATGCTCTTTCTGGGGATATTAATGTTTTCATTGACA